TTCTTCTTCTCCTTACTGTCGCAAATGCTTAGCATGTGCTTATTTTCAGTATTACACTAGCATTATAGTTGTCATGATATTAACCAATATATGTGCACTCATATTCAGATGTTTTCGATGAAGTTGTTCAACTCTGCTGTGTTGTTCTGCAGTTGTACTGGCTGGCACCATCACAAGTATTTTAACCATTCTACACAATTCCTTGTGTTTCATGAGGAATTGGTATTTCCGATCATCAGCTTACGACTCTGTGATGTTACTGCTTCTACGCCTGATCTCAAACTGTTAATACCAATTGATGTTGGGTGGCCCAAATCAGAACCTGAAGTGACAGTTTTCTTACCCCATCATTTTTTCCTAAGACTGTTCAAATGTTTTTCGACCTGGAAGAGTGAGGCTACGAAATCCTGGCCGTGTACCCATCGTTTAAACGATTGCTCCTGGTAAGGCATGTGTCAAGTCGTGCGTCCGAGGATGCTCGTGGCAAAGTTCGTAACGATTTGAACGACTTTAGCGCCTATCATTGGGGCCGAATTCAGAGTAGATTAGATTAGATGGATCCCTTGACCCTACTAAACTACTCTACTTCGAGTTTGTGCGCCGAAAAGTGGCATCAGAGTCGTACAAATCGTTACGAACTTCGCCGCGCAACTTGCCGCGCGCGTCCTCGGACGTACGACTTGACTGGTCTCCCACATCAAGATAATATCAAAATCTTGAACAGTTCGCGCAGAGTTGTTGATATTGTCACGAGACGAAGGTTACGATAGTGCGAGTCTAGTGGGTAAGGGTTACCACATTGCTTTTGCACGGTTTACATTGGATAGGGTAGGTATGATAGGCTCAGATCAACTCCTGGGATAACTGAACAACCCGATTAGGGTTTTTGATGAAGCTAAACGACGTAGAGGCTGATCGATTGGTTCCAATCTTGGCGTGGAGACTGCAACAAACTATTTGGATACTGAGCAATTACTCAAAACCTTCACGGATCGTGAGGAAAACTGGGAGAAGCTCGTGTGGGGATTGAAGTGAGCCACATTTCCTCTCATTCTGTGTTGGAAAAAAGCCATTTAAATGGGACCTGTTTATTTCTCGAGATGGTATGATACAGATACTTCAATAGAGTATTATAAATGACTGAGAAGTTGTTATCATATTAGTGTTTTCATCAAAAATAATACATAGTCAACATGGGAACACATCGATTTCAAGTTCTCCATTCTCATTGTAGTTGTTGCTTACGGAGAAGTGACTGAAATAGGTAACGGGTAACAAATCTAAATAAGTAAGGCAGTGGTGTAACCAAGTAGCTTTGAAAAGGAAATTCCATTACTGTCTGTGAATTTCCCAAATCCTAATGATGTAGCATGAAGCTCACTTTGTAATTTATCATGATGCAGATGGGCAACAAAACAATTACCTCCCGGTTGCCACTTGCATGTGGGTGGCTGTGTGTGATGACATGGAGTTACGATAATAGCGAAACAATCGATTTATACCAAAAATACCTGTAGAATTGTACCAGCCCACTTATGGTGAAGAAACACGGTTGACTGGAGTTGGGTATGTCCACGGTATAAGTCGGTATTGGTATTGTATCGTTTTCTTTGATTCTGTAGTGTCTGTAAGTGAAATATTTACTCGCTTGTTTGTTTTGTTTATTTGATTTATTCATTTCCTTACTCACGAGGTAACTGCTGGTAGGTGTTACAAGGCAGTGGGCCAGACAAAGAAACAAGTAGTTAAGCTTTACTAATGAGGTTTTAGTACTCTTCCTACTCTTCAGCAACATGCAGTCGATGTCCTATGTAAGCCATACGTATTGATTGAAGCTAAATGGAGGACGTCCTGAGGCTGGCGCTCCCTCCTGACCACTAGCTAAATTCGAGAGCGCTATTTAATTTCTGAACGCAGCATGTACACCTGGTTGATTCGAAGTCACGCGACGTCTGTCGCAATATCGTCAACTATAAACGAAATCCGTTCGTCATTTCGCCAGACGCTGTATTAGCAATCAGTTGAGAACTAACCGACATACTCCTCTTCTACTCCGATAAATAACAAACAATTGGATTGTAGGAGCTACAGCTTCAGGTGAATTTTTACGAAGGGCATCACGTGTTTCTTCTAGGCTCAATGCTGTTCGATGATAGAGACGGAATACAGTGGGTTTAGTGACTATCTGAATAACGAATTGTAAGTAAGCCTTTCGGTTGCGCCGTGTATTCGCTCTTAACTCCCGTTTTCGTAGCGCTTGGCTACCCAGTCATTCTCTACGATTATTCAAAGGAACTTGGCTTATTCTGTGTTACGTTTTTGTCTAATCCTAGTAGATAGGAGCCTATCCTAGTAGAGGTAAAGTTCGAAGGTTGTTTGTAAATAACCTTTTCTGCTTCTGCAGCTGTCATTATGCCAATATAGTGGTAGAAAGGATTGTTTGTCGACCTTTCTTTTGAACATCGTTGCCTTTCGCTGATCTTCCACATTTGGGCCTCGGGAAATTCTNAAATGGTGAAAATACCAAGTTTTTTAGTTCTACGTTGTCACTGAGTAGAACAATGTTCGAAGAAGGGCATAAAATGACTTGAACGTGGGAATTTCTGCTGTTCATCGGGTCCGCTTTCGATTACGCCACGTACTCGGAATGGTCGTCTTACCTGTTCTAGGATGCATGCGGACTAGTCACTGCACACAGCGAGCACCGTTGTTATCCTCGCTAGGGTTTATGGGAATAGGAAACCGACATGTGGATGTGAGTATGGATTTGCAATAAGCTAAGGAACCCCATCCGAGGAGGTTCCATCCAACTTGTCGGTGGATGTCGTAAGCGTAATATATGGCTATGAATGGAGTGGGGCAAGGCAAAGGTTGCTTATGCTTTTGACATTAACGTGTGACAAGAAACATTTTGATGAGATGATTGTGATTTTCTTGTTTGATTTCCATTGTTCTGGTAGCAGCAACTCGACCGGTGATCGTATTACAATTGTGCAGACTCATCCTTTCCCCACCTTCCCCTTTTCCTTCAGTAATGTTCTAACGAGTATGTTCAGAATGCGTGTTACTTTTGACTTCAAATCGGAATCATAGAGGAAACATTCTTATAACTGCGCTTAGTTTTATCTATGAGTCCTTTCGAGGATCTGTTATTCGTTCTGTAGAGCCTTGAGCTTGTCTCTGAGCGCTACTTTTCTATATATTTCCCATTTGGAGTGACTTCTGGTAAGTTCTCAGTAGAAAGAATGGCATCGATCATCTACTGAAGGTGTACGTACCTACATACATGAATAGGTCGAGTTCTTGAAGGGGAATCTTCTTCTACTCACTGTCTTACGGTCAAACCGTTGTGGGAAAGCTATTCGAAACATCGTAATTTGGGTCACTTGCTTTGATCCTCCGTTAAAAAGCTAACAGTGGTTTTTTAAAGACTTGTATGTAAAAGACATTCAATCTTACTTAGTCGGTCTCTTGCTGATTGACTATCCGGTTTGTGGTCTTGAACGTTTGACAAATCATCGTCTGCACTTGATGACTGCAATAATCACTTTATCAACTGCCACTTGGCTGATCTTTTATTTCAAGATTTGCTTTGAACAAAAATGCCGGTCTAGGTGTGGAAGGAGCTATCCACTTCGACCACACCCCTATCAGAGGGTGTCATTGCTTCTTCGGGTAAGCGTCTTCGTAGAGCTACAGACGTAGTGATCTTAGGCCTCCCACGTTTTGTAGTGCGCATTGTCGTTTTGCCCATTAGACGCAATCGCCCTAACTGTTTAGGAAACTGTCTGGTTCTCAGCAGTCTCGAATCGCAAAGTAGACACTGTATGTAGTGCGTGATAAGTCCTGATATCTGGAAATCGTCGGCCGTGATAACGATGATCACCTCATTGTTTGGCTGTTGATTCTGGTTCTCTGGTTTTGACTGCGACGATTTACGACATGGTGTTCCATGAATACAGCAGCTGAAGATCTTTTTTGATTCTTGAGGGTATTCTTTCGAAATCGCTAATCTTGAAGAAACCATTTCGCTAGGCAAAAGCTGCTATTAAAAGTGCGTTACTCAGGTCGAAGCTGTATATCATGCTGGCAGCACATACCTGAAATTTCCTTTACTATCTGATTTCTTTTTTCCGGAACGAATGCGTTCATCAGGTGAGTCTTCATCCGAGGCATCTGAATGGATCTAAGTCGTCATCCAAATAAGCCCCTCTAGTCTGAGACGCAGATTCCCCGATTTTGAAGGGCGACAACAACGTTACAGGACTTGCACGACTTCACACGACTTGTAAGGGCAGGTTCTCCACCTCAGTTTATCGTAGGCAACTGCCATTGTATACAGCGCCTCTGGATCCGTCCCGTACAGACCATGTCGGATCAGATCCGTACAGCCCACACCAACAGCCTGACCATCTTCAGAGTGTTAGCGTAAAGAACCACTTACCCATGAGTGATGAGTAATGGCCGTTTGAGGAGGAAACCTATTTGAAAATGGGTAACCCTCGGGCTACCTCTCACGGACCCATCCGAGGTGATACTGATAATGATAAAGTTTGGGATCAGTACTTATTCTTGTATCATTTTTTATTAAGCTATTTTTCATTCGATATGCAAACGGACCATATGCAAACGGATAGCTGAGAGTGTGGGAAAGAAATGACCTTTCCTGTCATCAATGCGAATTTATTTGTTCGAACGAAGGTACTGTAGTGTTGGGTGGGGAACTACTATACGCATGATCCCAAGATCGTATTCCATATCGAAGTCTCCCATTTTCTCGGATGGGTTGCTGGTATACGATCGTGTGGCAGGATGGAAGCACTGGCTAGTACATTGGTTAGCTATCGCAAGTTATTGTATAGGCCACATACACACTCAGTACACCACTACGATGCTAGATGAAAGTAGGATGCGGGGCGCATCCCGATGCGGGATTAATCAACACAAAAAGAGCTTTTGTCTCTTAATTTGTTTATTGGGCTAATATGGAGCAGCACTAGCCGGCACCCTTGCGGCATGTATGTTTTGAGGGTAGAGTTCTAGATCGGAACTCGCTCAGGGCTTCCAGGGCCCTTCCCTTTCGAGTCGGTTAATTGGTACCTACTGAACCCGTTTGGAAGACAAAAACACTGCTTGCACATCGCTTCACCGCATAATTTATATGTAAACCAAGCACACAGTAAAATGCCACTACCAGTTACTAGTAGAAGTCGAATGTGATTAATTGTCTTGAAATCGGACCAATCATTGTCGAAAGCTTCATCCTTCGTACTTTATTCTTTATATCTAATTATTCAATTCACTACAGTGCTCAATCAGAATATGCAAGAATGTAGTAAAATTGAGAATCTGTAAACTGTAAATGTTCAAAAGAGGTCTCGTCGTCAATGAGCTTTGTATCGCTGTCTGGAGGGTCGTCCTTTTCGCAAACCCCATTCTGGAGACCATCTATGGAGTCTAGCAGGTCTAAAACAAATACAAGAACAACTTCAAAATTTGCTAGTGTTATGTCAGTCCAATATAGTAGAGCAATGTAAGATGCTGCCTAAAAATATGAATTAGATCGAATAAATACCGTGCGTCCTTCCGCTCATAGCGTGCGCCGGTAGAATAGCGACAGAATTGCCCATTAAGGGATTTCGGATTCCGGGGGTCCTTTATGGGCAACTTTGTTGGGAGGGAAAGCCTCAACTTTGTTTGTACATGTGTGGCTTATTCAGCGACATCGTACGTTCTTGTAACACACGCGGCGACCAAAAATCTGACCTAATGTCACTCGTTCTGGAGCAGCATAGATGGATTTGACAATCAATCACTCCCGTGCCTACTTACGGAGGTCTCATACTCAATTCAAGATGACATTTAGCAAAAGTTTTCAAGAACTTTTCAGCAAGAACTCTCTAAAGTGCCTCACCTCTAAGAAAGCTCTCCTCAGTCTGGCTCATGTATTCCTTCTCAAAAATGAGATGGCTTCGTTCTATCATTATCAGTAAGGCTCTTGATGCCCGGAGAAAACCATCAGTGGTAGTTGCACACCGGGGGAAGAGCATTGGTGTGAATAACATCAGCACATCTGAATTAAGTGTTTTACTATTCCTTGTTGGAGTTCGTTTCAGTATATGCCAGATCTCTTCTCCCATTCGCGAATGATACTGCATTTGGAGGAATTACCATCCTGTAACAGACTTTTCGAGCTCCTCTTGAAGCCCTTATTTGTCAGGGTACTGTGATTGCGGATTGAACAAGGAGCTTATGCCTAACTATGGCGGTTGGCCACTTCAGTTGGAGGGGGAAGGGGTCAATTTGGGGAAACGTAGAAGTATTCAATGTGGAGAACAGAAAATTATGCTTTTCTACTGGCGCGGTCAAATTTAGACCATCTCAGTGTTTCGAGACTCTGATCCTCTGATGCATTCAAGTTATGGGTCCTGCGAACCGCCCTAGTTTCGACCCGAGTTCATGATAACGGCAATCAACGTTAAATAGGCGAAACTCATTCCCGTGCAGCTCCACTCTGTCCTTGTCACTGGATCCTAGGTAACTGAGGGCTCATTTGGACTTGGTCAGGATCTGATCCTAAAGGTCATGGCAATGTGGTGCTAGACGTCAAATCAGCTTCAACTGAGCCATACTGTAAGATCTTGGTCCACGCAACGAAAAAAAACCGTAGAAAATTTGCGTAAACTGTAGAATTTTGAGAGCAGCCAGTCAGATCTAACGCTTCCTGATAGCAATTAATCGCAAATCTCCCAACGTAATCGATGCAACCTGATCTGAGGAAGGATTAGTCATAAATTATAGGTCATAGTGCCTAATAACACCCGTGGAGAAAATTGCTGCTTGGAACAAGTTTGCTTTTGCTTCCGATTAGCTTGCAAATCGTTGCTCAAACCGGAAGAT